GATCTGCGAGTTTAGTGCAAAAACGCATGATCGCACCGGGGAGCCTGGTGCGTTTCAGCCTGGGTTATTGCTTGTTGCAGCGCTCTAGCTCTGCATTGCAAAAACGCATAACGATTTATGAATATGAACATTTGAACTGACTTGAACAATAAAAATTAACATTTCAATACTGGACATGAATTATGATTCAAATACTTGAACGATGGAATTATGTGAATCAAAAAGACAAAAATAAGAAGAATGGAAAAGTTGCAGCTGCATAAATAATAGAGCAGACTATAAATATAACAGCTTTTTCAATTATTTTAAAGAATAGATCAAAATACTGCACGTGATTTTAACGCGTGACCCATTGGTGGAACAGTTCTTAGAACATTTTATAAGGTGATAAAATCCGACGTGGATCGAAAACATTTTTGAGTTGTTTGGCCACTTCAGTTTGGTATCCTTTGCCAAGATTACTGTACGGCCTGTGTGCTTGTCCAACACCATGCTCTGCACTGATACTTCCACCGTGTTCCGTTACCCATTCCCAGAGAAATGGATAAAGTCTGAAATAGGTTAATTAGCAAAATTTGCTGCGATTAGTTATATATTTTTAATCTGTCTTGAAGTATTCAAGTACGGAACGGATAATGGAATGGTATTCGCGCATGCGGTCAAGCGAACACTGGGGAGGCCACCAGTGAGCTGGACGGACTCCATGGTACGTCTATACGGTACCACGTGGTCTCGGAGAGAGCAACAATGAGTTGAATGGAGAAATTGCCAGTGCTGCATCGATGGCGTGACAATGATCGTCGATGACATACAGCTGCTCAAGTATTCAAGTATCTTAAAGTATAGCTTCAGCTCCTCTCGTACCCCTATCCCACTCGCTCTTCTATGTGTGTGGGTTTGGGTCGCAGGGCGCTACAGAAAACAGGAACGGAATATTGTCAAGGAAAAAGCTGAGAACTTGCTTGGAAGTAGAAGACGGGGATAAGGGGAAGGATTACGGACTGTATTGATAAAAGATGCTAAGCAAGGAACTAGATGCTCTGCAAAAGCTTATAAATTTGTGCTTGTACTAGAATCAAATCGAAACAAAAATCCGGGACTTTTGTTTATAACTCTCCCTCAAAGCCACAAATGAGTTGTCGGCATAATTTAAAAAAAGATTGATAAAAATTAAATGTGTTTCTAATTAAAAAGCCAAGATTCTGGCGCCTGAACGGAAAAATATGGAAATTTCAACTGAACTGAAGGAACAAACTTCGCAGTGAGTTCCGTATAATATTTATCCGAGGTAACATTAATATGTAAGTCGCCTTCTGCCATATGACCGAACACAATTACACGCTTTGCTTGTGCTCCAAGATGTTCACGGACCTAAAAATAAACATGTTTTTTATCTAGAACAGTAAAAAAAGTCAGAATCTCGAGAAATTTTCCAGAAATTCACATTGAGGATGTCGCCTTTACGCAAATTTTTGCTCTGAAACTCTCTACGATGTTATTGAAATGCAGCCAAACAAAGCTTTGCTTTTTCCTACAGCTTGCACAGGCTGGTAATTTTTTTTAGAAGCCACCTAGTTGATTGTCTTCTTTCTGACGGATACCGCCATCCCGTGGTTGATCGTTGTACAATTATCGGAAAAGCCCAGAATATCCCAATTATCAGAGAAGCCAAGAATATTCCAACAAGAAGCTGTTCCCTTTTTCGTAGATACCACCCTCCCCCCCCCCCCCCCCCCCCCCCCCC